CATTCAGGTCAACATTAACAATTTCCACTATGAATAACCCCATTAATTTCAGCAGTGCCATCACATGTTCATGGAAGAGGTTACTCACAAAGTCAAAGTCTCCATCCTGAGGCACCTTCCAGTTGTCAGGAAAGACGTTCTTGGATTGGATGTGGTAGCCGGGCTGCTCCTGCGGCTGGTTGTGGTTGTAGTTCTCCTGCTGCTGGGCTGCCTTGTTGGAGTCCTGTTTGTCAAAATAGTCCATGAAGGACGGACGCATCGGCTGCTGTGGGGCGGCGTGCCCTGTGGAGGAGGAAGAGGGTTGTGTTCCAACTTCACAAAATGTGAAACTACATACATTTGCTAAAATCTTGAGAGAAGCACAAAAAAAATCCTAACATTACTTTAATTTAATTATTTTGGAGACTCCTTAACTAGCACCCTGTTTTGGCAGTTTTCTCCCTTTTCTCCACAGTACTGATTTAAAATTGTGTGCGCTCACTCCGCATGGATCCCTGGTCTTCCTCCTCCTCTTCGTCGTCATCACTGTTGATGACCATGGTGCCAAGGTCTGACTCGAGCATGGTGCTGCCGTGTTCGATCATGGTCTGTGCCCCATCACTCATGGTGCTGGTGGCCCGCATGGTTCCTGCGCCCTCTGAGCCCGACTTCACCATAGTGTGAGAGTCGACCTCCGTTTCCTCCTCCTGGAGGAGACATTAAGTCATATAGCCTCAACATATGGCCGTCTCATCATGTCAAGTCAAATCTAGTGGTAGCTTTAACGCAAACGCTATTGTTGGCATCTTAGCATACGTACAGAGTTGTCATCCTCCTCCTCCAGCTCTCTCTGTTGCTCCTGCTGCCTCTTGGCTTTCATCTCCATGGCCTCAGTTATTAGGTCTCTCAGGATTGTGACCGGCTTGGCCTGGTTTATAAATGGGTGCTGGACATTCACAAGAGCAAAAACAAACAAAACATTTAGTGCCTCAATGGCTCTCTGCCACAAAACACAAACAGAGCATCCACGTTACTTAGTTAAATTTTTCTACATCAGTTTCCCTGAGTGCATACATTTACATTTATTCATTTAGCTGACGCTTTTATCCAAAGCGACTTATAATTGCTATACATGTCAGAGGTCACACGCCTCTGGAGCAACTAGGGGTTAAGTGTCTTGCTCAGGGACACAATGGTGGATGGGTCACAGTAGGGAATTGAACCCGGGTCTCTCACACCGAAGGCATAGTCTTATCCATTGCGCCATCGCCACCCCACATACACCCAGGTATTTATGTTCTGCCCTTATAAGTTAATATCTGTATGTGCGTGTTTGTGTCCTTCCTTCCTCCAACCTGTAGGAGCTGTGTGGCAGTCGCTCTCTGCTCTGGATTCTTGACAAGACACTTCTTGACAAAGTCTGTGAATTCGTCTGACCAAAGCTCCGGCTTCCTGAATGTTGGAGGAGGGTTGGTTGGGATCATGAAGATAGCCTGAAGGAACACAAAGTGGTTTCAAAACATCAGGTGGGATAATAAAGAGAAAGGAGGGGAAAAAACACAGAGACATTATGCCAAGTCAAGTGTTTGTTCTTTAGGCACCTAAAATCCTTTGTACTAACCCTTGCTTTAGGGCTATGTGGTTGGGTCTGAGCACCCACAAACCATGTTTACACTCACTCTCATGGGATGGATGTCAGCATAGGGAGGTTTGCCCTCTGCCATCTCTATGGACGTGATGCCCAGGGACCAGATGTCAGCCACACAGTTGTAGCCGATCTCCTGGATCACCTCTGGGGCCATCCAGAACGGAGTTCCAATCACAGTGTTTCTCTTGGCCATGGTGTCCTTTTTGAGGAAAAACAAGGCTGGTATCAACATTATGAAGTCTTCAAAATCAGAGAAAGATTTTACTTTCCAAGCGGACATTTGATGAGAACATTCATTTAGCCGTCAGTAGTACAAACCCTCCACACAAACCGCTATAACATTACCGTTAGTTGTCCAGCAACTCCAAAGTCTGCCAGTTTGGCGTGTCCCTCAGTGTTGAGGAGGATGTTTCCTGCCTTGATGTCCCGATGGATCTTCCTCATGAAGTGAAGGTATTCAAGACCCTTCAGTGTTGACTTCAGGATAGTGGCGATCTCATCCTCCGTCAACTGATGTGAGAAGCAAAAACAACACAGGGATTAAGTAAGATCCAAGAGTAAATGAAGAAATGTGTAACGCAGGTATGTAACACAAACTTATTTTAGTCAGTGGTTTGGCAAGTTAATTCACAAACACAGCCAACCAGGACTTTCCCCCCCTACTCCACAGCTAAATGAGCGTTTGTTTTGTCCATGTCGACAGCTGAGGACCTACTCTGTAATCCATCCCTTTAGGTTTTTATGTCCACTACTGTTCAAAAAAAAAAAAAAATGGGACAGTAGATAGATTTTTGTAGGAACTGTATAAAAGCCCAGAGAGTCATCACTGAGGCTTTATCACCATCATAAACATTAAAAAGAAATACGTAGTTAATGTCAATGTCTTCGTCAAACTGCAATGTTGTATGTTTGGTATGTACATTATAAACAAGTTTAATATATCACAGGAAACACTGATAATTTGTGAATGACTAACATTTTAGTACTGTCTCACACACCACAACAGTAATTCTCTGACAGCACCCACCGTCTTGTTGCGCAGTCTGATGATGTCAGAGACGGAGCCGGCTCCACAGTACTCCATGACAATCCACAGGTCTGTGTTCTTAAAGTAGCTCCCATAGTACTTCACTACGTATGGGCTAGGAGGAAAAACAAAACAGAGCGGTTATCAAAAGAGAAGACAAAGTTTGTTTCATTTACAACAAAAACAACAAAAGGGAGAAAAGTCTTGTTGGTCAGGACATCAGAGCACTAGTGAAACCATTGCTGTTAAATCAAAATGCAAAGCAAAAATGGAAGCGAGTATGATGCTTTGAGGGAAATAGGGATGTTTAAATCCAATCTATGTCGGTTGGGAAAAGCTGTGTTCTCTTCTAACCTGTCACACTGCTGCATGATTGAAATCTCCTTGATGATCTCCTGCAGATCAGATTCAACAGGAACCTGCTTGATGGCCACCACCTGGCCTGACTCCTTATGGATGGCTTTGAACACGCTGCCATAGGAGCTAAACACATACACAAACATTAGGTCACAATATGTCCAGAGTGTATTATATAACTGAAAGTATTAACAAATATACGCATTACACAACACAAGAGGTGCATCTTAAAAATAGGACAGACTACTGTGTGTGATGGACTTAAAATATTTTCAGTCAACAAGTGGAATTGGATGTTAGTCATGAATAAAACATCTTACCCTTCACCGAGTTTCTCTAGAACATCAAACACTTCCTCTGGTTGTTTGGTCAAACTGTCTTCACTCAGCTTTTTCAGCTTGCTGTAAAAATGGAACCGTGTAGTGTAAATAAAAACAAGAAGTGAAACCTAACTAAAACACTACACCACAGGAGCATCTCAAAAGCACGGTGTTTTCCAGCAACTAGCATTAACTTATACACATAAATCAATAAAGTTGGGAATAATGTACTCAGAAACAAAATAAAGTGAAATATAAACAACCCAGATGTTTGTGCATTTATTCATTTCAACAAACACTACAGCAAGGGATTTAATTAAATTGTCTAGAGCTGGAGGATATTTAGCAAAATCAAATCACTCTAATGCCACATTAATATTTGTTATACTATTTATTAGCATAGTAGATATCGTGATGGAAGCTTGAAGACTACGGATAAATGGCAAACGCAGAGACATTATTTTCACTAATTTCAATCTGATAAGTCCAACATTTTTGATAAGTCCAACATTTTTGTATCTTACACTGTGCTGAGATTTATCATTTGTCGTTAATTGTTTAGGCAATTGATGGAAAACTTGTAAACTAAACTTGTAAACTAATTAAACAAGCACAATTGCTTAAATGTGTGAGAATGTGCTACTTTCCTGTGTTTGATATGATTGGGTTTTAGACAAAATATGCACACCTTAGGCTCTGGGAAATTGTGATAGGTTATGTTTTAAAACTTAAACCTTACAATGAACTGTAATGAGTTACAGTTCAGTAATATTACACCTTACTAACTATACAGGTAAGTATAACGTTATGATGTAACATTAAGAAAAGACAACTTTAAAGATATATCATGTCTTTGATACCATCTTGCCCAGCTCTTTCTCATGCTGAACATGCTCCTCAGAGAAACAACTACTAGTACACCTAAATCACCGTATACTCAATTTGTTTTACATGGAAATGTGAGATTGTTTCAATTAACACACAATTCATTAATTTGTATTTCATGTCCAAGGAATAATGTATTAGCTCAAAATGCTCCCTAAGAAGGCACAAACGAAATTAACGGTTACCCCAAAACAAACCAGGCTAGAGTGTCATTAGAAGCACAGGGCTTGTGATTTAAGCGGCCTCTTAAATCGTTAACTCATCTAACTGAATGGAAAGACAGAAACCAGTAAAGCTAACTAAGTTAGCATCAGCTTGCTGAGCTACCGCCTACGTTAGCCGTTCAGCTAGCTAGTTCATGGCTTTGAGAAGCACGTTTTAAACCACTCGGATTTACACAAACCTTTTGGGCGCAGTCGGCTCCATGATGCAAAACGTAAACAAAAAAGGCAAAAGACTAATAGTAAGTTATGGCAGTTTTGGCAGTCAAGGTGTGAACATTGTCGACAGAGTCGTTGTTGTGAAGTAGTGTAGAGGGCCAGCTGAGTGTCCGTCAGATGATGGACCGTTTGGGGAGACGGTTTTCCACAGCGCCCCCTGTGGGACCGGAGGTAGAAACAAAAACGTATCTATTTCTATCCTTGAATCATGAACAACCCCAACACAAATAAACCACAAACACTACTGCATACCGTGTAACGTTAGTCTGTCATATATTCATATTCATTAGCGTTGTCTGGTAAAAACAAAAAACAAAAGCCACATGTGACGGAGTGTCTTCTGGCCAATCACAAACTACTTTGCTCAGAGGTGGACGACGGTTGTGCGCATGTGCCCCGGCGGCCGTGTGTGATATGAAAAGAGAGGTAACGTAAACAGCAAATAGTTAGCATGTTAAAACGGTCTTTTTAAAAGCTGTCCCTTATGTTTAATGCATATGTACTATGTTCATAGTGAATTATGATATTTCTTAAAGGCCTTTGTTGTTCGCTACGCCTACCGGTTGTTGACGGTTTAGGTTAATCTTGTCGGTACCACCATGCTGTTTCTGTGTTAGCATGCTGTTATGATACAGATGTGATTGTGTCAACATTGTTTCTCTTGTCTTCTTTTATAGAAACAAAAATGGATCCACAGAAAGAAGTACAACCGCCCAAACAGCAGCCTATGATCTACATATGTGGAGGTAAATTACAGCTTTTGCTGAATAGTTCAGTGAGCTACATACTTACAGCCGTTACTACTGCTAACGATGCTAACAGACCTAATCTTACTTTACGCTGCTACTGCTGCTGCTTTCACACCTTATATATTAGTACTAGTGATAGGTGTGTGTAGTACTATCGTAAATACCATTACTACATTTTAGTATTGTATAATTATAATGTTACACCTTTCTAGTAGAACTGACTGAATAGTAGTAACATCAAAGCATTATAATGTATTTCCTAAGTTCCTAAGGGCAAATTGACCAATTAGGATGGTTGAATGACTCAATGAAGTTTATTATTGTCTCATGCATATAGTTCTGCCCACACCCCGTTGGATTACAAAACCACAAAATTCATATAAACCACATGCATATGAGTGCAGTTTCTAGAGTATACTTTATTATTCAAAGAGTGAAAAGATATAGGTCTATCTATAGGTTTATTTAGTCTACAGCAAAACTAAGAATTCATGGACACTACAGATAATAGGGTTATAAAAATAGAGATTAATTAACTAGTTATTCTTCCCTCCTTTTTCACTTTTTTAGGACAAAGTTAGGGCACACAAAACTTAAACTGTCATTGCATTTTTTTTAACATCTATACACTAGAATATTTCAGGATTTTAATATTTTTTGCTATTTTGTGACAAATTGACAAACTCACACAACTGGTTTTCCACTTTAAGATTTGCGAATCTGCCAATGTAACTAGCTGGAGGAACAATATAAATTCTTAACTACAAGTAAGATAATTAACTTCTAGATAAGTTAAATGTATTAGTATTATTCAAAAATGTTTTAAAATATATACTATTAATTAAGTTTGAATGAGCATCCATTGGATTCTATTGTGCATATAAACTAACCTCCAACAACCAACCTATACAAACAAAACTTCTGCAGAAAGTTACATCGTAACCTGGGTATCAGTCTTTAATTAACTGTATTTTCTGTATTATTCTCTCTCTATTTACTTATAGAATGTCACACTGAAAATGAAATTAAGGCCCGTGATCCAATCCGATGCAGAGAGTGCGGTTACAGGATCATGTACAAGAAGAGAACAAAGAGATGTATCCTTTAATGAGGTTTTGTGTGTGTGAGGAAGTCTTGTATGTGTAATGGGTAACTGCAGGAAACATGATGTGTATTTTTTTTTTAACATTTTGCGGTAAATTCATAATTAGTTTTATTTCTTATCTTATTACTCCTGAAAATATATTTCTGTTTTACTTCCAATATTTACAGACCCCTGAAACTAACGACTGCTAGTTGATGTTAAATTCTAGTCCTCGTGTGGAAGAATGGTGAAATATTATGTGACTGCAAAAGGCTTTTTATTATAAACCGTATGTATGATATGAGTACTAACATACCTGTACATTTCCTTGACATCCTTGATTTCAGTGGTTGTTTTTGATGCCCGATGAAGAAGAGGAGAGCACTGATTTTGATAATTATTGTTCTGGATCTTCGTAGTGTATTACCATGTAAATAAACAGACTTCCAGGCCTTGCTCCAGATTTTTTAATTATACTTAGAACATAGCATTTTCATATTGTCACAAACATTACTGTTTTTTGGGGGTGTTAGTCCGAAAATGATGGATTAAAGTTTGGTTTATTAAAAAATTATTTTCATGGACCATGACCCTGACCTTTTTTCTTATTCATTGTCAACTTTAAATGGTAATGTTTTAGATAAATACAGGAGCAAGAATTGTGAGATTTTGTTTTTTAAAGCTAATTTCTCAGTGCTTTTACGTTTTACTTACTTATTCTCAGAAAATGAACCACTATTTATTTCTCAGTTGCTATAAGATGTTCATGGTCCGTTCCAGTGGGTTTTTTTCGGCTTGTGACCCCTTCTTCTTTGTATGAATAATAATAAAATGCCTTAAAAGGCAAGAATTATCCTGTGATTTGGATAAGATGGGAGGAAAGTGAAAATGCAATGCATGAAAAGGTTTTTTTTCTGACCGCTCAGAATCAATTTGTGACCTCTTGTCCACTTGGAAAGTTTAAACTCTTCACCTATCGGCAAAATTCGCCGTTTTGAAACCAAATTGGGTGAGTAAAATTTGGGTGGGGGGGGAGTCGGGCGTTGCTAAAACATCATTTAGGTCTACTCGTTAAATTTACAAAGTCCACTCCTCTCTAGCAATAGCTTTGCAACTTTACAGGGCTCTGCCTAACCAATCGTCACTCCTAACGCCTCAACCCAACAGCCAATCAGATACAGCATAGGGCGGGTCTTTTTTCTATTCCGCGACACTGCCAAGCTGACAGCTGACCACGTGAGGACGGTAAGCAAGCCTGATGTAAGTCAGAAGTAAGCTAGCTTACAATGTTAACTGTCCTGTGAGATACAGCAATGTTGCTGAGTTTAGAACTTCTCCCGCTCTTATTAACCAGTAATGTTAGCAAAGCTTATTGTTCAGAGCAGTGGCAGCAACCTGGATGTAATGTGTTATTTACACTGGGGACATGTCCCCGTCACTTTTTGAAAGCGTTTGTGAAAAATAGCATGCAACACGAAATGGCAAAGAACCAATGAAAGTGCTTTAAGAAAGGTTTATTTGCATTTTTAAGTAAGAATAAACCACTTATAAAACTTATAAAATGACCCCAAAACGTGCAGCACCAATCAGTAACTTTAACAACTTCTTGTCTTCTTTGGCCAAATTTTAAGTTCTCTCCCTGTGAACATGACAAAAGAGGAGGGAAGACTAAATCATGCCCGCATGTGTGCTAATTCAGCAGGGATGACATTACATGAGAAAAGTGGAATTCATAGGTGTCATTTACACTGGAGATGCTGGGGACATGTCCCCACCACTTGAAATGGCTGATTTTTTTTGAAAGCATTTGCTAAAGGTTTTCTGAAAATTAGCTTGCAACAAGAAATGTTAAATAAAAAAAATTATATGAGAAAGGTTTACTTGCACAATAGGAAAACTTGAAATGCAATGTTAATATAGAAGGAACAGATCTGCCTGCCAAAAAAAGTAACTTGGGCTTAAACAACAAGCTGCTGATTACTGCATTATATTCGAATTGTCACAGCCACATGAATTTGTTTCCCTTCATATAAATTAAGACATTTCCACCATAAATTGGTGCAGAAAATGTCTCTTGAATGCATGTCCCCACCACTTTTCAACACAAAGTGACGCCCTTGGTTGATCTACAGGAGAAACGTGAAACAAGACAGACTGAGAGCTGCACTGCAACTCATATATTTCAGCTTTGATGATTTCTATACTTTTCATTTAAATACTGTTAATTTATCTTCACATCTCGTTCTTGTGACACCAGTATGGCGCATCGCCACATCTCGTAAGCCAAGTGTATCGTCACACCCCTAATCTGAGCCCTTTTGTCCCACTACTTTTCAACACAAAGTGACGCCCTTGCGTGTCTGTATCTTTCTCTTGTTGCTGTTAGATGAATGCACGTTATCTATACAACATGTAAGCTTAAAGAAAGACCCCTCTTACACTGTCTCTGTATGTTTCTTGGCTTTAGCATCATTCTCACCTTTTTTTACCCCTGACAAGTTTGCATGCCTGAATTTTTTTCTTCTCCAGTCAACAACTTGAAACAGAAGTATGTGTTCGCTTCACATACTTTGATGTGCAATGTGAAGGTGTACAGCTTTAAAGACTTTGTTTGATATTTTGGGAAATCAGCTCAACAGCTTTTTATTGGTCAAACTTTAGATGAGAAAACTGATACCACTCATATCATGTAAATATAAAGCTTCAGCCAGCAGCCAGTTAGTTTAACATCAAGGCTGGAAACAGGGCAACATCTAGCCTGCCTCCATCCAAAGGTAACACACTCCTACCAGCCTCTCAGACACTTTAGCATGTAGTAATTAGAAAATCACAAGTGTTATTGATAATATTAAAAGGGTGAGATAGTTGTGCATGTTGCCTCACTGGTTTATAGAGAGACTTAAAGGAATTGAGCCATCGGTAATAACATTTATATCACATTTATATTATATTGTTACTTTTGGGCAGAGCCAGGCCAGCTGTTTCCAGTCTTTATGCTAAGCTAAGCTAGCAGGCTGCTGATTCCAACTACATATTTACCACAAAGACATGAAAATAGTCAATCTTCTCATCTAATTCTCAGTAAGATAGAAAATAAGATATATAATATTTTCAAAAATGTCAAAGTGTCACTTAAGTTCTTTTAAGTGACAAACAGGACTTCATTTGCATTTAATTATAATTTTAGTTAATTATTTTTTGACTAATCTAAAAAACCTTTATAACTATAAAGTGCTAAAACTATGCTCAAATGCTCATCATCAAGAACAAGTCCAAATTAATTTCCTCACATTGCTGTCTAATTCTGTAGGTTTACACCATAGACTGGTTTACACTTACAAGGAATTTGCTTTGGTGACTTGGTGCACAACAATAAACACATTATATAAATTAAAAAATATGAAATTGTCAAGATATACAAATATAAGATAATAATAAAGACTGTGCAATATGGCAGTTATATTTCATCAGATTGGAAAAAAAAACCAAAGTACTCAAAGTTTCTAATGAAATGAAAAATAGAAAAGAAGCATCTCTGAACCTGGCACATTGCACATATTTGTTCATAATTGTTAGTCGTATTGTTATTTTTATTTCTTTATAATGTCAATTTATATATTTATGCACACAACATCCTCTTCCATTGCAATACGTCTGCACAACATAAACCAGAGTAATGCACATGTAAATATCTGCCACGTTGTTCTTTCCCTGCAAATAGTTGTATTATTTTTCTCTATTCTTCTTATATAAATGGCATTTGTTTATTCCATATTTATATATTTCTGTATATATATATTGCCATCTGCAGTCCTGCATTTTCTGCCTCAGTCCAGCCACCAGAGCCCTTTGCACTTAAGTCTAATCTGAGGCTCTCCCCTCAGAGCTGTCCTCCTGCAGCACTGCATCGCTGTTGCACTTCCCCCCTCACTGACGTCACACCTGACATCTCATGCAGGGGGCGTGTCCTACAGAAATCCCAAGCCAGGCTCAGACTTAGCTGCAGCTCTGCGAGAGGGGAGAGGCAGGGAGGGAGGAAGAGTTTGAACGCACACTGCAGAGGGAGTGCAGCTATGGGGAATGTGCAAGAGAAACCCCCGGGCAGCGGAGGAGGAGGGGGTGGTAGATCGGATCAGGCCACAGCAGGGAGCGGGACAAGAAGCCGTGAAAAGCCACCGACTCACGGAGCTCCACAGAGGGAGGTGGCCAATGGCACTCAGAGAGACAACAACACTACTGGTGGACAAGAGGAGCGCGGCAGCCCTGCAGTGGACACAAGTTACCTGGACGCCCCTGCTGGGGCCCTTCCTCCTCACCTGGCCCGGCTCAAGAATGAAGGGAACCACCTCTTCAAACATGGCCAGTTTGGTGATGCCATAGAGAAGTACACACAGGCCATTGATGGATGTGCTGAAGCAGGTGAGGGAGACATGAACAGTTTGTGTGTTTTTATGGAGAATTCGGTGGTCAGTATTTCATCCGAGGAGAAACACCTGTGGTGACTAGACAAATTTTGATTGCAAGATATATTCTACTCTTACACAATTCTAGGTTGTTAAACTTGACACACATAATAAACAGTTGCATAGCACACTAGAGCTTATGTCAAAGTAAATTACACTAAGGAGTAGGGCTTATTTTCGCAATTACTTTTTTAATTGTTTGGTCTTTAAAATATCAGAATATAGTGAAATGCTAAGGCACAAGCTGACACATGCAAATAGCTTATTTTTTCTGACCAACAGCCCAACACCCAAATAAATTAAGTTTACTATTAGAGAAATTGCAGAAATTCACCTTTGAGGCGATCTGAATCTGAATTTTTTGCTTAAAAAAATTTGACAAATTATTTTAACTCTAGTAAGGAGGCACACGGTCAAAACTTGAACGATAATGTTGCACTCACTGTGCTTTTTTGATGAAGGCGAGTCTTCAAAAGCAACTTCTGATCGACAAGTCACTAATGTAGAAAGAGCAACAGATCGGTGGCACAGAGATACACAGAAAGCGTATTTTAGCATCTGTGTACTCACCCTTGTCACGATATCAGATACAAGTTGACTCAAGAGTGCCATTTGGCTCCACAGAGTATCCCGTTTCAATTTTGAATGCATTATACTCATGCTTGTGATGCAGCACAATTTCCTCTATTTACTTACTTAATAACCATATATATTATTTAAATTCGCGTAGAGTATGAGTGCAGGTCGGTTTTCAAATCTGTCGCCTGTGTGGATTAGTGAACGAGAAATTGCAAGTTTTTTAGTTTTAACACCCAGAAACTGCAGCTAAGATGTGAGGCGTCATTGGTGATTTGTGAATGCAGTGCAGTGTTGGCGCAAGACAACACCACTGACCGTAGTTGTGTGCTAGTGTGTGGGGCTTTTAGGTGAGATTGAATGTCATGCTGCACCTCAAAGAGCACTCCGCCAACTTTTACTCACGTAGCTGGCAAGAGGGATTGCTTTTTCTGCAGCACTGGAGACAGGCTCAAAAATATTAGACTAGACTTCAAATCATAGCAGACTTAACAGAGAAACTCTCATAGGGAAGCTCTGAAAACGAAGTATGACTGTGCCTTATTTTAAAATTGTTTTAAATCACAAATGCAGAGGAGTTTTAGACAATTGATTCAGTGATGGGCACTGAAGCAGCAAATAATGACTGATGCTGTGCTGGCGGTTGTAAAACTGCAGGGGAGGCACAGAGGAGAAAAGACAGAGTAGAAAATGACCCTACCAGAGGGACACAACAATTTGTCTACAATTCACCCCCTCAGCATCTCTGGACAGTCTGCACATGATTCATTGAGCTGTGTCTGTCATCCCTGTTTCTCTTTGGTCTGCACCTCTCCAGACAAAGGCCACAAAGGCCGTTAAGTTCTTGATATGAAGCACTAGCCTGTCCACAAACCTGTGTGTCATACTGAGATCAAAGATGATTGGAGTGTCCTTCCAGTGTCTGGTCTTTCAGATAAGTGTGTTGTGGTTGTTGCCCTGCAGGCATCGATAGCGCAGAAGACCTGTGTATTCTCTACTCCAACAGAGCGGCCTGTAACCTGAAGGTTGGAAACAGCACGGACTGCATTCAGGACTGCACCAAGTACGTTAACATTAAGTGTCAGCTCTGAGCATGTGTGTTTTCTGGCTGCGTGTGATCATTTGTGCTCATTTATGTGTCCATTTCAGTGTAGCTTCTGTCAGATTTAAAAGAGTACTCCACCGATGTAGGATTGCACTCCTGTAACATTGTCAGGTTCACGATGGACAGTTGAAAAAAACACAGAACCAGATTGTCTTTTTTTTAATTTCACAAATTCTTCTTCCTTGACAAAACCTGGCGCCTACAATACCCACATTGCAAATACAGTTATGTGGGAGATTTGGGTGTGTTATGCCATTATCGGCTAATGTAGCCTCGATCTTGGGGCTGGCACTCAAGTGGAGACAAGGATTGGGCTACAGACTTCTGGTAAGCTCACTTCTTTCTAATTCCACACTCCCAGGTGTGTTTCATTTTCAAACTTGCAGTCTTCAGACCCAACTGATGCCGACCCAAGTGGCATTACTTCAGGGAATTTGTTAGATTTCGTGCAGCTCCCTTTGCAGCCACTAGAGTATAATTGGTAATAGTTTCCAGCACTTGTAAACAGACTTTGATGTCTAATATCGGTGGAGTTGCCCTTTTAAGATGGTATTTTGTTGCTAAGTTACATTTATAATATTTCTTGTATGAGGTGAAGTTAAACTGGCAGTGAGTGTCTTGGTTTGCTGCTTTTGGTGGCAGATATTATGTCATGTCAGCTTCTCCATCAGCCTTGTTGTTTTTATTCATTTTTGATTTTAATTTTAGTAAAAAGAAGAGTGTTTGTAGTGTCAGGAGGCTGCAGGAATCTCTTTGTCTAATATTCATGCGTTTATGAATGGAGTGCTACAGATCAGTCCAGTTGGGCAGGTGTGGACAGTTTGATCCTCTGTCTCTGCATCTCTCTGATCCTCTTAGGGCTTTGGAGCTGCAGCCCTACTCCTTGAAACCCCTGTTGAGCAGAGCTATGGCCTATGAGTCACTGGAGCGCTACAGGAAGGCCTACGTGGATTATAAGACCGTCCTGCAGATAGACACCGGGGTGCAGGCAGCTCACGATAGGGTCCACAGGTCAGCTGACATAAGAAACTGTAGCTACTTTATGTGGCTTCATTTTAATGATATTTGTGTTTAAACATTAGACACCATTCCTTTTATGGCTTCATAGCATCAAATAGAAACACTCAGGTGTTCCCCCGGAGTATATTTGGTATCTTTGGCTCTGTGGGTTTAAACAACGCCTTCATTTAATGAGGGTTGAACAGCTAAGTACTCATGTGCCATCAAGGCCTGAGAGTTTGGACATTTTCATCAAACACTGAATAGTCCACTGACTAGCTCCTCTTGAAATCAGCTGCTGTAGTATTTGGTTGGGATGACAGGTCATGTTAGAGAACCACTGGTCCATATGACAGACTGAAAGCAGACAGGTCTGAAGGCCATGTGTAACTGGCCTAGTGTAGTTAAGGCAACACATTTCAGCACCACAGAGAGTTCCTATTCTGTCAGTGTTGAAGGGAGACAAGCAGAGTGTCCCAAATCCATACTATATACTAACTACATACAGTTAGTATACAAGAAGTCAACATACTTCCCATTTTATTCTAAATTAGACTACAATTACCTGTTCTTTTCCAAGTCAAAATGTCTGTTGTGGGGGGGGGGCTTATTGACATGTAATTGAATCCCTTGATAGGTTTGTTGCACTGCAAAAACAGGACAACTGTGGATTATGGGGACCTCAGCAAACTCTCAACAAAGCTTTTGAACCTGTAATGAGGTCTAATGAGTCAGACTGAAAACACCTGTGTGGGTGTGCAATGTCTTTGACATTAAACAAGAAGACATTGGATTATTTTCAGTGAATGTAACGGGTAAATGTTATGTTTTTATCTTTTGGAGAAAAATAATTGGTATTAAACTGTCCCAACTATTAGTTCCTCTACGGTTTAGTCTCCTGTTAGCATCGTAGAGGAGCCCATGAACCCTGTAGTGTTCGCAGGATCAATCTAGCTATTTACAAAACACTTTTTGTGCTCGTACTGCACGTTGTACTCTCCGTGTCTCCTGCTAGGATCACCAAGATGCTTATTGAGCAGGACGGACCTGGCTGGAGGGAGAACCTCCCAGAGATTCCCAACGTCCCTCAGTCTATCCAGCAGCAACACCGAGAGAAACCAGTCAGCGTCGAAGTGGCTCAAGCCCGAGCTGCCAGGGCTGCACAGGAAGAAGGTCAGTGAAGTCACTTCCTCTTAGCTTAGTGAGCGTGTTAAGTTAACTACATTTGTACAAATGTGCTAAGGGTTTATAACCACCTTTTCTTTTTTTGACAAAATTGTTTATGGTCTCTTATGGCCTAATGACTTGTGGCTGGTTATGGTGGGTTTGAAATTATTCATGGTAGCGTAAGGCAGCAGCAGAAGTCGGACAGTGAGAATCAGTGTGTCAATGCTGAGCTGTGGTGAAGGCACTCCTGCTGAGAGAGTGTGTGTGTGTGTGTGTGTGTGTGTGTGTGTGTGTGTGTGTGCGTGTGTCTGGTTGGGTGGGTCATCAATAATGCAGAGATGAAGGCGATCTACAGAGTGTAGTGCTGCTGTAATGGAACAATCCAGGTCAGGTTTCCTGTAGGCTGCTTCAGCTCCACACAGACCAGAAGGCTCCACATGTATCATATATTCAAATATATTTCAGTACACGCTGTGTAGTAAATACAGTATTAAAAGACATGCATGCACTAGCAAATAAATTGCTTTATTTGTATGCACTGCATAAAATTTCCATATGCAGGATTTACAGATACAGATAAAGCATCCGACCTGTACGGACATTCACATACATAAACACTGAATGACTATAGCACCTAAACAGAACGGAGCTAATCTCAGAATAGCACATTGCTGTTGCTGGGGAAACTGATGGAAGTAGTTCAGCTTGTTGTCAGTGTTTAACACCTCTTGTATTAGTAAATTCCTGTTTTGTCACAGAAATGTGCAACATGTTATAATTTTAAAAGGTAAAACACCATTGACATACCAACTACTGTAGTTCTGACCAAGGACTCCAAGTCAGTAGTTTGATGATCAGCCATTTTGTTTCACTACACTATAAAGAAATGTGGGCAATGATTCAGTGTGGATCCAGCAACCAATAAGTCAGTACATGTTGTGTTTTAATTAAGACACACAAACGATTGCACATCCTCAGCTGGAGACTCTTACGGTTACATTTTTATTACCATCACTTTCCTCCAACTGTACAGCTAACCAGTTGTCTAAATACAGTGAAGTTGTGCCTGTTCAAGAGGGAATATTGACAATCATTCTGGAAAAGTGGGATTCATCACTAAATGAGTCCTGGAATGTGTTGAACACAGACATAAGGCTTCTGTTCAGAAGATTTAAAAACAATAAATAAAATAGATATGTTTGCATTTTGTTTTGTTTTTCAGTTTGTTTGAAATTCCAATTCCAATGAAGAAAATCCACTTACTGGAGATGTGTTCATTTATTAACTCAACATTTAAGCTTGAAATTACAACCTGGAGCTTTTTTTTTTTTTTCATTTTTATAAAATGACACCAAAGGAAGGACCTGCGTTTGTTTGCGCATCCCACTCTGCTGTGAAAAGCTCATTTGTATTGTAATGTGACTGTGCTTTCAATAGCCACAGGACAAGTTAATTAGGTACTATACTGTGGTTAAGCTGTTGCTGATGTTGATATTAAAAATGCTCTTATTCTCCTGGCGCTTGCGAGTATTCTTCTTCTCCCATTGGAGAAAAAGAGCTTAAGCTGCCTGCAGATGATTAAACAGGCTCATTAGCATTACAGATTAATAACAGATATGTTACTTTTGTTAGTATTAAATGACATTACCAACACCAGGATGTACAACTATTTCTGGTTTTATTTTATTATAGAATTTTTTTTATTTATGTATTTATTTTTAATTCTGAGTTAAAGGAAATACATACATACTGAGTAAGTGTTATTATTATTATTATTATTATTATTAAATTTGCAGGATCCAGAAACCGGGGTTCCCTTGTACTTGTGGGGTCCGACAGCTTTGTGGGGACCAAAATGCTGGACCCCACAAGTTTAAAGGGCTGTTAGAGGGTTAAGATTTGGTTTTAGGGGGTAGGGGTGGAGTTAAGCTGATGATACAGGGGGCAACTTTTTGAGCAATGTTGCTGGGCAATCTTGCCAGTGGCAAGTCCGACTATGTTTTGAACAGATAGCGGCGGTGCGGGGCGGGTGGCGGAGTGGTGGGGGAAGGGGATTACGGTAGTAATCTTTACTCATTACCATTGACGGCAACGTTGCCCTGCACGATTGCTCTAAAAGTTGCTCCGTGTATCATCAGCTTTAAGGTTAGGCGTGTAGTTGTGATGGTTAGGGTAAGGAATAGGGTATGCATTATGTCAGTAATGTCTGTGTGTGTATGTCTGCGGGTATGTTTAAGTGCCTGTGTGTGTGGCTTCCTCAGCACAACAGAGAGCTCAGTAAGCAGGAGCTGGTCCATTCAGACTGCTGCTGACGGGCTGATGGATTTATTGAGCGCCCCAGAAAATGTTTGTGTGCTAAACTGATGGTAAAAGCTTCTTGAAGGACAAACAGTATTCAATATGGTCTCTCGTGACATGTGGAACATATCCATAACCTCAGTTGACACTTAAGTCATTTTTAAGGTCGTTTTGTTTTCTTGCTTTCGATACTAACAGTTTTTTCTTTCACGTGTTCCAGTGTTGAATTGTTTTGCTAAATTGCATATTTCTATCAACAGTGAGAAGAAAAGAGGCCCGCTTTACTTTACTGAAACGAGAAGGCAACGATCTGGTCAAGAAAGGCCTCTTCCAGGAGGCTCTGGAGAAGTACAGTGAATGTCTGACCCTCAAACCTGACGAATGTGCTCTCTACACGAACAGGTGGGCATGAAACTGAATCATGTGTTTTAGATGCACAGGTAGACACTGTGCTGTACATACAACATGGAGAAAAGCTGTATATTATTATTATTATTTTTAAAAGCACTTATTCGATAGTATAGACACAGGGACTGTACCAGAGCTTAGGATGTAACAATGCTGATTTTAACATTGGCTGATGATCTCCTTTTAAGGACAGTATAATAGGAAAAACAGTAGAGGGCACTACATGATCATCTGCAGGCCAACTGCAGTCTATTAGATCTTTTATCATTGTCAAAAACAAACACATTCTTGCTTATGAGAATGAAGGAAGCCACATTCAATTTTGAAACGGACAGTATCATTGGCTGACTTCTAGACTGGAGACTTTGTGTGTAGTTGAGATCTGGATGTAGTTTAAGATTTATCAGCTGTAGGCTCAGGAGGCTAAGGAGTAGATCTTGCTAACATTAACATCTAAACTGAGGGAGAATTTGACACTAGGTAAATTTATTTATTTGTAATGGACTATATACATTATTAAACATAAATGTTGAACTTTGCCAGTGTTAGCTTAATGCTAATTTCTCTCCTGCAGTCCCTGCAAAATAAAAAGAAGCTGACAGCCTTGTCATTGTATGCAAATCAATATCAAGATTTAATGAACAAATGATAGGCCATGAGCTATGTCCGCCGCAGCCTGAAGTAGCGAGTTGAATAATGAATGGGATGTGAGATAAGTTCAGAGGGGCAGTGCACCTCCTGCAGCTTGTATGTTATAGTCACTATCCTGTGGTGGATGTGGTGGCACTGAGGGACTACACTCAGGGTTGTAAATAATTGTTGTAATGAGCCTGCTAACACGGTGCAGCAAACTGTAATTGTTATGGTTAATTCATTTTAGATACAGGCTGATACTATGTAACCAGCGCATTCATTTGGTGAACAGACTGAGACTACTTAGTAGGTGTCCATTATCAGGAATTAATGGACACTAAGAATCAATTATTCACCAAGACCATGGTATAAATAACCATATACCCTAAAACATGCGTCAAATACAGATGAGACAGGCAGATGAGATGCCCTGATACTGGTAGTGTTTGTTTTATTTATTGGGCCATACCAGGCTAACCTCCAATCCCTAACTTTCATTACCAGTATCATTACCATTACCTGTAGCAGTATCCTGAATGGCAGAAATGGAAATGCTGTTTTCTCTGACTCCTATCTTCTTTTTAGAGCCATTTGCCTCCTGAAACTGAATTACTTTGAAGAGGCCAAACAGGACTGTGACTCTGCACTGCAGATGGAGCCGGGAAACAAGAAAGCCTTCTACAGACGAGCTCTGGCTTACAAGGGTTTACAGGTGCCATAAACACACACATTCATTCTATTGAAGCAGTTAGATTAAAAGGGTTTGTGCATCTATTTACTGATAATACTTTCCCCCCGTGGTATTTTTTGTTACAATGTGTGTGAATATCTGTGTATGACCCCCAAATGTAGGACTACCTGTCGGCCAGCAGTGACCTCCAGGAAGTCCTCCAGCTGGACCCGAATGTACGCGAGGCCGAGCAAGAGCTTGAGGTGGTGACGGGCTTGCTGAGACAGAGCCTGATGGACAGCAATGTACACACTCCAAGGGTAAAATATTGTGTAGATGCACACAAGCAAACCTCTTCAAGAAGTAATTCAGTTATTCTTGAAAACAGGGAACTGGTTTGAAATTTGAAAAAGATAAAACTTAATTTCTTTCAAAAACTAAATACATACTTTTGAAAAGCTCTTTTTGTTGTTGAAACAACCTCTCAGTGTAATTTTGCGTAGCAAATATGTATTTTTCAGATTGGTATTAGTTTTTTTCCACACCAAAGATTGTGTACTATTTATAATTAGTTCAGCAGATATGTCATGCACCTAAACTGTTTTTCCTATTTAATAAGTCTTAAAACAAATGTATGTATGTCTGTATAGATAATATAATGTGAACTACATATTGAATTTATTGAACACCTGTTTTAGAAACCAAGATCAACGCGTTTTGTTTACTTAGCCAAAAAACTGACTGTGTTGATGTTACATATAAGGAAAAGAAAAAAATACAAATGTGGTTATTTAAAATGACCATTGAACAAGTCAAAATTTAAACCCATAAGATACAAGAAACATGTATATTAAGGATTTAGCATATAAGAGAATTTTAAGGAGAAAATGCTAAATTGCTAAAAGCACAAAGTCACTTATTTACATATCAACTTATTTGTGTGTTGTTTGAAAATCAAACGCTAAAGAGAAACAATAATATCACTGATAATATAGTGGAAGGCACTTACACAAAAACAAAAAACCACAGAGAGGCTGACTTTTGCTCATTTCCTCCAGGTTTGATGTTTGTTTGTGGTGCAATGTGGAGGCCGAGGAATGAAACGGGCACATACTGTACTATAGCCGTGATGGACGAAAAGGACTTTTAAAGCCATCAACTGTTGTGAGGAAGACCTGTAAAAAAAAGAAAGAAAAGAAATGACTGGCATTAACTCCTGGGACGGGCTTCCTTGGACGACCAGCTCTCTTTCAGCTCTGCACCATCCCGCAACGTGAGCAAAACCACACCTTAACTCCTGAGTACACAACCTTACATAATGGGCAGCTTTATTTAAAAAGGCTAATGTAAAGGTACTCATGACCTGCTTGCACTAGAAATCATTCACATTATGAGGTAACATACTGTTTATACAGATGTGTAACAGGCGTAACATGGGGAAAGCAAGAGTGAATTATGTGTGCCTTATTGAGAATTTTCTACCATAGTTAAGATGAAATACGCCAAGATTATACAATTAAACTGTAGTGTACGTGGAGGTAAGGAGTTTAAAAAGGTCCAGATGTTATTATGGGGGACAATCTTTATGTATACAGGATTTCAGCTTTTTTTTCAGCTCATTGTTTACATGTATTATCATTACAGCTGCTACGTATTAAAAAACACAAGCCAACAACTTACTATAAAACATTTCTACAGCTAAAGACCCAGCTATAGAAATGAGGTGTTATGACCTTAAATTATGCTATAATTTAAGATTGTCAAGATGATTTTCCAGTTACACTTTCCCTAATACTCCTGACCTTAGTATTTCAGTCATTTTTAATTAGAGATTGTCACATCAGTGGTTTAGTAAACATTCAGCTACAGGATTCATAATCATGTACTGTAGGCTTATTATAGGTCTCAGGTTCAATCTTGAATGTAACCAAGGTGACTGTGTGTGTGAATAGGTGTACAGTATTTATGTTTGGAAAGTCTTATCAAAATACTAAACAGTTTTATTAATGCATCCTTGGTGACTTTTTCCATAATTAGGAACCCTTCCTGCTGCAACAAGGAGCTAGGCGAGGACGTCCGTTTTCACCCTTTGTATGTGTTCTGTTCATAGAAACCTCTCAAAGCCTCTATTCAACAAAAATTTAATATACTAAACAGACTTAAACAGACAGTCAGAGCACAAGAAAAGTTATCAGCAGGGTGACAGTTTATATGACCCCAAGCAGTCCGGGCAGATCAACTAATACAGTTCAGTGTCTGGCTTAAGTATCTTAACAAATAAAATATTTGGATGCTGAAAGTTTGAAAACTTAATGTTAAAGTTTTACCCACATTTTCTCACAGTCAATGACAACTTTAAAGGTTGAACAAACTCATCTCATTATTTTCCGGAATATTAGCCCACTCTCAGACTGGTTTAACTTCATAAGATCTTGAAGTGTATATGAAGACTTTTGGCCCATATTTTTAAAGCCCTACAGCTATCTTCCACAGGTTTTCTCCCCTAATTTGCCTAATTAGAGCTCTCCTCAGGTCTGTGTGGATGTGTCATTAAAAGCCACCTGACTGGGACGGACAAATTGAGACTTATGTCATTCTTAGTAGTAGGCTGAGTTTTGTGACTTCAGTTAACTTTAACAGGAGCAGAGGTCTAATTACCCAAAATAATATCTGGCAACACCTGTGTGGGTTGTGCAGGGCATTTAAATCTCTTTCTTTTCAATCTCCCATACCTATGCTTTTTAAATATCCCACATTAGCCCTATAGCACACAAAAATTGTAAATCTTTGTATAGCACAATGTGCCACGACTTTTATTTCTTTCATACTTTGAGGTAATAATGTCTTAATAAACTTTGTCTAATCTTATTTAACCTATCACCCCACCTCCTGTATTGTCTAATTAAAAGCATAAATATCTCAACTAAATGAAAACACTTGATAGGAGGCTTGAAGTGTTGCTTCATGGAATGTAAGCGCATGTACTGTATGTAAATAGTTTGAATGTAAATAATAAACTGCTATGTGGATGCTTTAATGAGCCTTTGTTTCTGCATAAACACGATTACAAGTGTGAACTGAATGTGAAACGAGGAAATCAACAAAAATGCTGGATTATTAAAACTGGACTGTTGATTTGCAGGCGTCCAGTCACTTGGCATGTTATTAAAAACTTATGCCGCACCTGTTAACAGTTAAAGTGCAAACCACCGCACTGCAGAAAACCATCATTTACAGGTCAAACCAGAGACAATAAGCTTGATAAAGAATTTTATTGTTTGAGGATATGCATTTACATACACATTATAAAGCAAATAAGTAGGGTGTGTGTGTATATATACACATATATATATATATATATACATATATATACATATATACATATACATATACACACACACACACACACACACACACACACACACACACACACACTTTTTCAAAATAGCATACGCTTCTTTTCACCAAGTTAGAAAATAGACCTGTCTTCAAATAATAATATAAAACTCACAGGAATTTAACAGGCATTTTTAACAGAAGGAGCATCAGCAGGGTGGGAATATCCTGCAGCTGGAGGCTTTTGAGGTGCATCAAAACTCTTTTTGTCGACACTACAGCTTCTCTGATGAGACTCTTCACTCCCAGACAGCTCATTCTGAGATTAGCTGGTTGACATCCCAGCAGAGGAATCTGTGGTCCGACTGAAAACTCACAGCAGCTGCTGAACACAGCATTTGATACTCAAAATGCTGAATGCTTCGGATAAAGAGGGTTTTTATTGCCAACAGGAGCAGGCCGACCACACAGGTGAACTGACTTTGGCTACTTTAAGGAAACGGATTTAAACCACCTCCCCAAAATCAAGTTTAAGCCAATGTTGTATTGTCATGGCTTTTCTGATCGACTTTCTAGCATTAGCACTCAGGGGAGGGCGAGAAACGTTATTTACAATCAGGTTCCGTGCATTTCACAAGGCAAATATAACTGCTTCGTGGTTTTTATGTTTATCATTTGAAGACCTACAGAAAGAGGAAATGAAAATAAAATAAAAACACTATACAAAAGGATTCCCCCCTCCAAAAAGGCACTGTGGGTCCAACAAATATAAAATTATTTGCATTATTTGCAAGGATTTAAGAAAACAACTTAAAACACATAGTTAAAGTACACCTAAAGCTCTGAATCAAAACTTATATTTTGATGTGGATATTACTGAGGATCAAAAATGTAACACTATTATCATCGTACATTCACTACTGAATATTTAAAATCAGTGAAAGATGAAGCAGTTTCTCATCACACCTTTAAGTATATCAGAGCTTTTTGGCTTATGTTCAATAATTATTCAAAAGATTCATTTTCTTATTGCAAATATATTGTTTGGTTGACTTCTAGTTTTAGTGACTGATTACTAAAACAAGCCCCATCATAGTAAGAGATGCTACGGTTTCAAATGAAAAACATGGGCTTTTCTGCTACGTTTACAAGTAATAACTTACAATTCCCTTTCTTTAACATCTCTCTCTTAATTCCATGATATACTAAAAACTGCAATGTAACCACAAACTGTTTTTTTAAACAGTGCAGACAGGTGCTTGTGGAGATTAATTCAAGATGGCAACAGTCTTAAATGCAAAATAAAATACAAAAAAGCAGGAGAATGGTTTCAGTCGCTATCAACACAGTTACCGCCAGATTATACTAAAAACTTGGACCCAACACAGGGTTTCAACATTAAAACAAACTTTCCCAAAATGGAAAATAAAAATAAGCAAAGACAAAGAACAAAAAACATTTTAAACAAATGCAATAATAATCATTTTACTTATAGATGATTATGGAAAAATAAAATTTGCTACAGTATGGACTGGCCCCTCTTAGGTTCAACAATCCTTAAGCGGTGGTGTTTCTCATGCCATTTTAAGAAGTGACAGAATTAACTGGTGGCACAGCGGTGGACCACAGTGATCCCTGATTCATGCAAACCCAGAAGAAAACGAGATTTTTGCCAGATGTCAGGAAGGAGAATAGGTTCAGGCTTTTGAATAGCAGCTCAATATACTACTGAAAAGAATACCGGACATTTTACTTGCCCCTATCCAGCTTCATCAGTTCTGCTTTTTGCAAGGATCAGGAAAAGGGTGTAAGAACTGCTTCGAACTTGGATTCAGAAAATCATTCAGGGGGCAGACTTTGCAGATCATCATAATAGCTGGATGGGCCTTCTGCAGTTATCTCAGCACCCTGATAACATACTTTACACCTGTCCATATACATCGACCTCTACCTACTATAGGCCTTGCTGCCTCCATTGACGCTTCAACAGGCTGAAACATCTGCTTCACACGTCTGCTTGTTCTTTCACTGAACAACAGAAACCACCAATCTGCTCAGACTGTACTGTGCCCCTCTTTACTTTATTCACCAATCTCTCTCCAACTGGGACGTCAACCCTCTCTCAACTGTATAGCCTGACATTCGCATAATATTCCTGCCTCTGCAGCAGATAGAAATATAATTAGACTTACACTTGACCACCAGCAAGATGTGTGGGGGGGGAGCAGCTTCCCAAGGGTGTGTGTGTGTGTGTGTGTGTGTGTGTGTGTGTGTGTGTTATAAGGCTAACTGAGCTAGCAGTGGTAACACCACCAACACCCGAAGAACAGGAGAGTTCTTTTAGATATCGGTTTGTATACAGCGTATCCTCGTTGGGCTTACAGGCTGTGCGGCAGTGTTTTTGCTGGTCTCTTTAATTTTCTCATCTTTCTCCGCCTGCGTGTCTGCGACATCACCTCCACTCTCCTCGTTGATGTATAGAAATGTCCCACTACTTCTACGTTCTTTTGGCGAAGCAGGTGGTGATGACGATAGCAGGCGGTGGGTGAAGGCTGCGTGGCTACTCTGAGGTGGATGATGCTCCAGGCGGTCGTTCTCCACCTCGGGCATGGGTGTGATGGTGACGTCATTGAAGATGGCGGCTGGACGATGAGATTCCATGGGTGTGGTGCAGGATGGATACACTGGTCGTGACGTTTCAGGGTCGGAGCAGCTGAGCTCTGAGGAAAAGTGGCTATAGTGTGAGTCGGCCACTGAGGGCAGGCTGCCGCTCAGAGATGGCGACTCAAACTCAGAGGAGTTAGTGCTGCGCTGCTCCAGGAGCTGGGCATCCATATCTCCCCGTGTCTCGTTAATCTGGGTTTCTCCTTTGCTGCTGCTGCTGCTGCTCGCTCTTTTCCAAAGCTTACCTTTGCTCTTCTTTCCCCCTGAAGTGGAGGGTTCTTTTGACCAGGGGGACGGGGGGCAGCAGTGGTCATCGTGCTGAGCACAGCAGCAAGTGGAGGGGCATGAGCATGGACCACCGCTAGCACCTTTAAGGCCGGCAGTGCTACTGCTACAGCTGGCTTCATCCAGGCTGCTGCTGGCACTGTAGTGCCTCATCTTCTCCGGTTTGGACTCCATGTCCGCCTGAACTTCCAGACTATTGTCTCTGTAAAAGAAGAACTCATTTTAGTCTATTTTTAGCATCCATCATGCATTTTCACTTTAATATTTATTAACTCCTACTTTTGACTACAGAACAAAAAAAAAATACCTCAAGTAACCAAATGATGAGATTACAACCAATTTGTTTTCATGTGCTTCCAGCATTATTTTCCAATGAAGCAGAAAGCATGCAGTACAAAATACTGACAAAAACAGCAAAGCAAAATGACTTTCCTTCAAACATTTGTACAAGAAAAACTAGGACAGAGATTTTTTTAAAGAAACGTTCTGCAGAGCATGCTCTGACTACTGACCTTTCCAAAGGCATGTAGGCATTAAGGATGGATCCTGCCATAGCTTTTGTGCTCGCATTGTCACTAATAGTCCCGAGACTGACGGTGGCTGATTCTCCGCTCAGACTGCAGCGCTCCTTTTGGACATCAGCCTGCACTTCCATCCTGTAAATAACAATTGACAGGAAATATAAAATAATCCACGTCTTGATGAGTCACTGCATGTTTCTTTATCCAAAATAGAAGAACACAATGGCAGACTAAGAAAAGTGTGCAACTTCAGAAACACACCTGGATAAAATGAGCACTCTTCGCTGGTCAAATTGTGCATTCAGTCTTCTTAATAAAACATTTACAGCAATGGAGAGATCATCCAGGTCGTTTATTACCTGTTGTAGCAGCTTCCAGAGAGGCTGCCGGTGATGCTGGTCCCAGCAAGGGCTGTGGTGCTGGCGTTGTCGCTCATGTTGTCCCGCTGGGCGGAGCTCATGCCGCAGCGCTCCATGTGGCTCCCGCTGACACTGAGGCTCAGGCCCGTCAGGCCACCGACACTCGCTCCATCTCCGAGGCTGGGATTGTTGAGCCGAGTCTCTGCCACCGAGGTTGTGTCTGTGGAGAAAAGGAGAAGCAGGAAATGTAATTTTTATTAATTTACAAAAGGTTTTCACTGACAGAGAAGAGCACATGAGGGCACGTAGTTTTTGTAAAGCAAAGAACTGTTTGGCTTAGAGAAATCAAGGAGGGGGAGGGAAATACAGATTGAGCCATGAAGAACAACTGGGGCAGGGGACCTCAGATAACAGCAGCAAACAAAAGAGAAATTGAGGTCAAGTTTATTCCTCTTAAAGTTATATCAATGACTTTACTGACTTTTATAGGCTTTACAGTCAACAGATTGATGAAGTCCTAGGTGTGAAAACATGTCATTAAGTCTCACACCTTATGTTCCTGGAAAGGTCAAAGTCCCTGCTCTCATTTGGATCCATAATTAGCATTCACAGTGTTGACAGAAGCTTTGAGAAACACAATCCATCTCCCAAAACAACTCCTGAGAGAGCAAGACGGACTCTACCTCTCGGGGCTGTCAGTTCGACAGTGACAAATGCATGCTGACAGGAAAAACTACTGACACTGCGGCAGTCATTTCACATTATAACACATCTCAAACACTTGTCTCCCATTAACCGTTTTGGCTCTTCAAGGACTATAAATAATCTAGATGCACACAAAAAAGCACTGACAGATGTGGCAGAGGTGTACT